AAAGATTAAGAATGATGGACAATTTATAAAATAAAAAGGACAAGGGTTTATATAGTTGTATATTGCAAAGGTCATAAGACCTTTGCAATATACAAACTATATTAAATGCGACAATCGTGCACGAGTTTCAGCTAAAAATAAATTACAAAATTTTTATTGAATGTCAAAATGTTTTACCAGTATGATATTCAATTATTTTTTATGAAATTACTCTACTAGTTTGCAATAATTATTAATACAAAGAGCGAACACTTAGAAAAACATCCTTAGTTCCGGCCGGATTCGAACCGACGTCTCCTAGCAAACCGTGCCAGACTAATCCACGGAACGAACCTTTCTCACAGATAGCTAAAAAGTCTGAAGAAAGAAGAATGTTACGACGTTGTATTGATTACTATTTCTTCATTCTTACTTTGACAAATTGGCTTACCAGTATTGAGATAAACTTTTATTTAACCGGATTTGATCTATATTGAATTAAAATGTTGAAAATCAAAAAGCTTTAAAATATAATAATAATAATATATTTATTTCAGACAACTATTTAGTCCACATGTGTTAGTAACAATTTTATTTTTAAAAAATTATGTTAGTAGGCACTAAATCTAAACATTATTAAATTAAAATTAAAATAAAAACATAAACATTTGAATCAATTAAAAACGAGGCGAAAAAAGTTGCCGCATAAAGGGAGAGTCAATTCTCCTGGCAATGGTCTTCAGTATTGGGTTGGAGCTGGCTCGCAGTCTGCAGAGCAGTGAGGCCGACTTTTTGCGCATAATGGCATAAAAGACATCAGTGCGAGCCTGTGCAAACATGCCTGACGCGCTGCAGAACCGCGGCGGCCCCAACAACATACGAAAACCATTGTTATATTGTACTCGCAGTCGCAATATGTCTCCTCTTTGTATTTTTCATAAACATCGGCTATTTATTCCATAAGCGTAACCATATTCAATCGATAGTCGATAGAATACTTGTCGATTGCAATCACTAGCTGATCTCAAGCGGGCAACACTTTTGTGCAATGAACTGTCATTTTACTCTTTCTTCAAAAAAGACAGACTGTAAATATTCAAATAATTTAAAATAACTTTTGGCGCTTTTAGCGTATTTTCACGCTTCTGTAAATGTTGTTTCGCTTGTTTCGTGTTCAGAAAACTGAACTCGGCCGGGAATTGAACGCGAACATAAAAATCATATGCTATATCTTTCCCACAATTGTTTCAAAAGAAAAAGAAACTATAACTGCAACATGTATTTATAAAAAACACGTGCTTCAAAGGCTTGATTCAAAACGTGCTTACTTCATTATTTGTAATTATAAAAAATGTTCCATTCAATCCATGTTTTATTTCTACTGGCAATAAATAATAATGAGAATAATATTACATTACCTCAATAATGGTTAACGTAAAAGACTTAATTATAACTTTAAAAAAACTGACCTCAAAAGTTTGTAGGATCATATTTATTTGCCTAGTTTTATTGAAATGGATTTGTTCTCTACTTTACAAACTTTAGAGGTGAAATATTTTTATTTATTGAAATCGGTTCACAAAGTGGAGTAATCGCGTAACAAAGAAATATAACCCATGCGGGGATCTAACCCGGGACCTCAGAGCTGGCGACACCATGAAAATCGGTGTGCAAGCCACTCGACCACGAAAATTCTCAAACTAATGAACTAGTAATTAATTTACAAAGATCGAACACTTACAAATTCCTTTGATTCGGCCGGACTCGAACCGGCGTCTCCTAGCAAACCGTGCCAGACGCTATGCCACGGAACGAACCAGAGGATCTTACGTATGTGCTTGTTGTAGTGACTTCGTATTTGGTTTTTCAACGACTTTTTAGCCGTAGCGCCATCTATGAGAAATCTATGAAAGCATTTCGTCACTCAGTTCTATACCTTTACAGCTACCAGCCCGGGCTAGAGATGTCGCTATTCACTGTATTTAAATTTTTATTAAATTGATATTCAATTATTTTTTGTGAAATTACTGCACTAGTTTGTTATAATTATTAATACAAAGATCAAACCCTTAGAAAAAACTCCTTCGATCCAGCCGGATACGACACGACATCTTCTAGCATACCGTGCCAGACGCTATACCAACTAAGCCACGGAACGAACCAGCGGACCTTACGAATTTTTCCATGTTTTTTTGTTCCATGGTTTGTTTGAAAAAACAAATATACTCGTTTTAAATCCGGAAAAATAGTTTCATTTCCTATGCGTAATAATAACGAAAGCCTAAGAACTCGATATGAAAAGTTTATTTTTGGTAAATTCATTATGTTTTGTCAAAGTCATCGAACAAAAACCATTGTTTATGGTGTTAGAAATTATTCTCCAAATAAGCTACCACCGCTCTTTATGTATGGTTTTAAGAAATCGCATCTTAATAAAACAGTTTCAAGAAACATAATTCATATAGCAATAATGTTGAAATTGTCTTTTATCACAGTTAATGTCGTAAGATAACAGTTAAATATGGTTTTATGATTAGTTATTCTATTCATTCGCGTTAAGAAATGATTTCGTAAATCAAACTGTGCAATCTCCGGATGTACTTTGGATTGAATGATGTAGAGAGATACTGCAATCATATAAGGAGGCTAAAGATCTTAAAGCGATTACACACGGCAACTTCTAGTAATTATAAAAACGCGCGTTTATTTTTTGTTAACCAAGGACGGGACGAACAAGTCGTGGGCCTCAGAGCTTTAAACTTATTCTAATTTAACTTATCTTAGGGTCACTACGCCCGTCACCCTGAGACATAAGTTGACATGTTCTATGTACTCGTAATTTATTAGAGCTCCTTGTGAAAGTGTTCCGATTTTGAAGGCTTCTGGTGAAATTACAGGTACATGGGACTTGTCAAATGGCTCAGTGTGCCCTTCGGATTTAAAGCTCTGAGTGACACTGCAACTGTTATGGACAGGCGTGTAGCTTACCTTCAGGCGCACGACTTGTTCGTCACTTGTTATTATAAAAAATAAAATCCACCAGCACCCTTACCCTTCAAAACCGAAACGCAATAATGCTTACATTAGTCTGGCAGAAGTAAATAATCGCAATACTTCCTTGAAACAACTCTTTCACAAAGTCAAGTCAAATAATCATTTCTTCCATAGGTACTATTTCTTACACTCGAAAACGTCATTTTTATAAGTTACTGCTCGTTCACTACGCTGACCTCCCTGAGGAGAACAAGCAAGAAACTCTAGGGATTGCTCTTTTCAAATAAACTTACATGCTACGGAATACTCTTCGAATCATAATTGTGCGAAATCTAGACTCTTGTTGTCTTTCCATACTTCTTTATCTAAAACATACTCTTCAATTTTGTAATATGACTTTTCAATTAAAATACTTTTAATGTAGGTTTTAAATTTAGGAAATGATAGTATTAATACAGTAATTTTCAGGTAAGTTTTTTGTACTCAATTTTGGTGACAATTTTTATTATTTAATTACTCGAATGTATCATCATGAAATATTAATGAATATTTCAGGTTACCACACTCGAATATTAAATAACGCTTCATGATGATATTCTATAAATATTTAAATAAAAATAAATTGTCACCAAAATTGAGTACAAAAAACTTGCCTGAAAATTACCCAATATATTCTCCAGAATCTTATTATAAAAACGTATACAGTTCCTCATAAAAAAATCGTTTACCCTATTTAAACGAATCGTGGTACCATGAGTTTGGACTTAGTTCTCAGGTTAATAATTACGGATACCTTCTTTGTTAATGAAATTATGTCTATTTTTACGGGCATAGAAAATATTGTACTGTGATGCCACACTCATGATATCAGTCGCCTTAAACTTGAGAAACCCGAGAACCTAAACGGTACACAGAACGAATCGCTCGTTTTTGCAACGCAAATATGGTTTGTATATCTGCCGCTTTACCGCACATGAGAATCCCGTAGGACATTATACTATGGAAGTAACTAAAGTAAACTAGTCTAGCAGTAGGAACATCGGTAAGCTCACGTATTCTATGAACTGCGTATGCAGCAGAGCTTAATCTGCTGGCTAAGGATGATATATGTGGAAACCATTGAAGTTTACTATCTAAAGTCACTCCCAAAAAGACAGCTTTATTAACAAGGTCTAACTTTTCTCCATTTATTTCTATGATTGGATTAGTCGATTTTACATTAGGCAAAAATAATTGCATCGCGACAGTAGCTATTTATAGGCGGTTGCATGCATTGATGCCGTCGCTGATGTTGTTTAGTAGTAGAACTCCTTGTGAATGATTTCGTCCATAGAAGTACAATTGAATACTAATTGCAATTATACGTTTTGTACTAATTGAAAAATGAAAAATGAAAAATACTTATTTCATATCACAAATAAATATACCACGAAGCTTTGCGAGATATAATAACATATACGTATCAGGCAATTCTTGTTCCCACCGAAATATAATGTTTTTCTCAAACAATGCTAGCAAATAAAAAAACTAAACAATAAAATAATACACCCATTTAATAACTAAAACTGTCTTTTTTTTTTAAATTGTGATTTAGTAACATTCGAGCACTGTAATTAAAGTAATAAATACTACAGTTTTTTTTAATTCTCACAATTATGAGTACTAATGGTAGTGGGCAGTTGGCTGTTTGCCATTTTTTTCTTTATATTATAATTATTAATACAAAGATCGAATACTTGGAACAAATTCTTTCGATCTGTCCGACCGACGTCTTTTAGCAAACCGTGCCAGAACGGGACGAACCAGCGGACACCACGAATTTCTCTATGAGCTTGTTTGTCGGATCTTTGTATCTGAGATATCGCTATTTACTGTTATTAAGTGTTTTATTGAACGTCATGTTTCACCAAGTACAAAAGATGGAACACTTAGAAAAAATTGTATCGTGTTAATATCATTACCGTTTTTGTAAATATGATACAATAAACACTTACTATATTAACTATTATCTTTTGTTTCTATTTCAGAGTATAGCCCACGTAGTTGCACCGCAAGGTTTCATGACGCGATTTGGACTGAACAACCTCATTACCGTAACTAACAGCAAACCTCTCGTTAAGATGACTGCGAAAGAGTTCATGATGGGGTACAAATCGGATCTCATGACTTTGGGCAACACCTTCATGCCAGGATGGATATATTTCGATCGGTTGGGATTAATCGACAGGGTAAGTTTCAATACCGGAACCTTTTGTTCGTTAGGCTTTTTATTAACGATTGTGGCTGATTATATTTGCAACATTTTAGCGGTGGTAGGGTTTTCTGTGTGTGCAGAATGAAACCTAATGGGTACCATCGTTTTATTTATCTTTGCTCTAAAACAGAAAAACTTTGTTCTGGATCAAAGGATAGAGAGTTGCACTAACGATAGCCTATTTATTATGTATCACAATTTTTTTAGGAAAATATGTACCGTATTCGGTCACATCATCGCATCAAGAAAAATTATTGCTAAACGTGCGTTAAATGAAAAAAAAAAATTATCTTCTACCAAAATTGGCTTATTATTACTTGTAATAAAACCAGCCCTTACGCCCGTATTCTATTTTAATAAAAACATAATAATTCATTGCCGTACTCATTTTCTCATCACCGTCCCTTCCCACAGATGTATGACTTCAACGGCGATTACGAAACAATATTCACTGGAAGCAATGATATTTCCATCTCTGGACTCATAGACACATACAAGGGCTCAACCGACCTTCCTCATTGGGACGGAAAACATTGCTCCAATGTACAATATGCTTCGGATGGCACCAAGTTTAAGGGAGATCTGAAGAAAAATGAAAGCATTTTGTTTTATAGGAAGAGTCTTTGTCGAGCTGCGCCTATGGTAAGTTAACGGGATTTTTTTTAATGATCATTACCGCAGTACGCGCTTTTTTTATAAAACTGCAGTTTTATAGGAAACCAATATTTAAATATTGATGAATTAGCGAGTATGTTAAAACTACTTCTTATGTGTTCTATTGTAACTTTCCTGCTAACCTATGTTGTGATGGTGTTTATGACGCCCTTTATTTTCTAAACAGGTCTATAATATATGAAACAATATATGAAATATATAGACTCATATTCATATTTCCAAACAAGAGAAAAATGTATTTAATTCGTTTTTTCAACGTCCTTAATTTCCTTAATGGTAATATAAAATCTAAATTAGTATTAAACATTTATTATTATTCATTTGCCATCTTGCGGAATGTATACTAGTATCGAATAACTTTGTTTTGTTATTTATCATTCCCGTATTTATAAGTTCGGAATCATAATAACAGGATATACTTACTATTATAATTATAACTTTTAGTTTTAAAAGCCGACCTTGAATATTTAGTGACGGGAGGAATAAATCGTGAGCCTGATGGTAAGATACACGCCTGTCCATAACAGTTGCAGTGACACTCAAAGCTTTAAATCTGAGGGACAATGCCGCTGCACCAATCACCCTGAAACATAAGTTGACAAGTCTAATGTGCCTGTATTTTCACCAGCACAGTAATGCTTACATTACTGCATGGCGGCAGAAATGGATAAGGTGCCAGTACTTCCCTGGACGAAATCTTTCACAAGGAGCTAATTATAATTATTGTAGAGCTCCAATATGATACTATAATTCTAACATTGTTACTTAAAGACACACTAGTCAGTTAAAAGTAAAGTTAAAGAAGTTTTTTTTTTAAATTTGTTTAAATATAATATCCATATTAATCAGTTTCTTAACCGACTTTGCGAAAGAGCGTTGCAAAAAAGTATACGTGTGTAGCAAGTGCTGTCGTAACGTCATAAACTATCGTTGTTATTTAAATTAGTTTTTCTCGTAAGGTTCACGTTTAAAAATATTTTGGGAATTTTGGCACCCTAGCCATGTTCCGGATTTTTTAACCGAATTAAAAAAAAACGATTGTCTCAATTCGATTGTATTTGTTTGTTTTGTTCAATATATTTATATTCTCAAATGTGTTATTGATTAATTGCTGTTTAGCCGTAACAAAACACCAGTGTGATGGTTTATAGAGATGGGCAAAATGTTATGATCATTCGAATTATTATTCGAAAGTGTTAAATGTATCATGTACTCGGGAAAAAATATATAAGTAAGCTCGTTTGCACAAGGCATCCGACCCGTATTCGTTCCGAATCCGAGACTACAACTATCTTAAAAACTCGAACCCACCAAAATGATCCCTGTGACATCGGACCGTCATTTTTAGGATTCGGATTCGTAAACGCACTAACAACGGAACTAATAAAAATTTGATCAGAAAAACAATTGAAATTGCAGCAAACTCACACTATCGGTAATACTAACGGAGCTACTAAACGGAATTAACCATCATATGTAAAATAAATGCGTAATTAACAGTAGCTACAAATTTTTATGTAATACACAACAAAACCTGTCATGTAGCCAGCAGACACATAAGACACTTGCTAAGATTTCGCAGCGAGGAACACAGAATCAAAGAATATGCAAAATCAATTCACGTCTCATATATATATATTATTACAACATTGTGAGATAGCCATTGACTTACAAATAAATGGACGACGGGTCTAATACAAAAACCACGAAAAAAATGTCCCAAGTCAACCTATTTAAACGTAGTGACATGTAAAGGAATATGAAAAAGCTAAAACATTGAATTTAAATTGTAATGTCATCGCAGTGCTGTCTAATTTTGCTTGCTTCGCTGTCAGTCGACAAACGAAGACTAAAGCGTGAATAACGCTCTGTATACGATTTTAACGCCCGAACACTTTTTAGCGCGGACCCGACGTCCATATAATTGTAAGTCAATGGAGATAGCTCATAGATTTCTTAAAGGGAAAGAAGTGGTTTTATGAACGAGTGTCAATGTGTTAAAATTGTTTTATATTTATATAGAGCACAGCACAGCAACAATAAATGTTTAAATAGTTGTTAAATTTGGGAGTTGTAAAAGTAAATAGCAATTCTTAAAAACCATCTATTTCACACATTTATGTACAATCCATAGCGTTCTTTAGTCGAAAGTAATTTAAACGGTTTAAAAACGATTTCAATAACACCTATTCATTCGAATAATTTGACGAAAATATCGCCCATCACTACATTTAACCGGTTAATCAAAGGTCACAGAATATTTTTACGTTTTATAAAATATTAAATTTAAAAGGTAGTGTCTACAATTTGTTGATAACAAAATTTGCTTTATGTAACTTGATCTCTAGACTTATTAGTAGCGTCTGAATCGGGGAATCGACGATACAAAACCTTATATAATTCCACCTTCGTCGCTCCTCTTCAAGGGGAAAGTTCGGAATAAGGACAGCCGAATTCAACAAATGGCTAATGATGGAAAATTAATAACATTATTTTTAAACGCACACACTCATGGCCCAGCGCTAGGGCGACCCGTGATACCAGGTGCCATAGACACGCCCATAGACAACCACAAATTACACCTGAACTCACGAGAGAAACAAATATAGGCCATACAAAATATTTCTCCGGCCTGGGAATCGAACCCGGGATGTCTGCGTTGCAGACCATGACGGTAACCGTTCGGAAGCGGAGGCAGTAAATTTGGCATTCTTGTAAATGGTTATGGCGTACTATGCTGTTTATCATTCTTTACAAATTTAGTTTGTAAAATTGTATAACTGATAACTTCCCAACAAACAGGGAGCGAAGATTATAACTTTCTCACAAACAAGCGATAAGCTCGATAGCTTTCTTACAATCCGAGAAAGATAACGATAATAGTTTTCATGGAAACAAGGAGCGTAAAACTGTGAGATTTTTGATACATTGTGATAAATGTTTTTTAGCGTATTCAATAATACGATCAAAGCTAAATATAAATATATATTAATAATGAAACTTATTGGATCCATCCGCATTCTACTAAAACTTGTTATGCTTTAAATTTAGCGTAGAGCACAGATGCTATTATAATGACACGTTTTAATAACAAAAGGTCAAACTTTGTTTAACTAAAATTGTGTTACATCGGCAACATGACCCAATATTTTTCGTAAACCACCAGCGGACTATACAGAGAAAATCAACGCTTTCACAATTACAGTAGCAGGTAGTGTTTAAAAACATAGTTTATGTTAAGATACAGTATACCCTATTTAAAAAAAATTATGAGTTCGTCCAGAGAACTACTGCCATCATAACTATTTCTGTCGCCAAGCAGTAATGTAGACATTACTGCGTTCTGGTTTATTTATTAAATTATACATTTTAGAAAAATTCACGGACCAATAATGCAATTATAGTATACTTAAATATGAGTAATCCAATTCCATTTAGTAATTTCCACCAACATGAAACAATATAAAGTGCTTTCAAGCCAAAAAGAGATTATAACAGGAAACAAAGATTAAAAAAAAATATTAATAACTATTAATAAACTTATTAATAGACAATTAAACGAACAAACCAGTGTATTCATCGCCAATCACATGATGTGAAGATAGTCCATAATCAACTTTATACCTCGGAGTGAAGGGTGGAGTGGTCACCACTTCATAACTTAATTATGAAACAAAGATCGAACACTTCATTTATGCATAATTAACAGAGTGTGCATAACTTACCGGATGCATAAATTTGATGTCCATTCGTTTTAGAATGCGGTGGGAAATTCTATATTTAAAAATCTCAAATACGTATTTTGTATTTTTATATCAATTACTGCATAAATGTAGATTGTACAACAAGTGCATAAAACGCGTGATTCTCGAGTATTAGTTTAATTAGTACTAGGGTTTTATGAACGTGTTATACACTTTGCTTTTCACTTCTATTGCGAGGAAATTAAACAGCAATATTACAAATAAACGATTATTTAATTAAAATTGAATGTAAAATTATAACAATTAGACATATTTCATGTGATGGTTATTTTTATTTTATGCACCAAAACATAAAATCCTATTTTATGCAGACTACACCCAGCATAAATACGAACTTCAAGAGCATGAGAAGTGAAAAATGCATTTTGTAATTGGTTTCTGAAACATCTGACATGTCTCAGTTCGACTGCTTTTTTTATTATGTTACGCGATAACTCCGACATTTGTGAACTGTTATGGATAAGGCACATCGTTAGTTCAACTCGTCAATGAAAATTACACGGCCTCAATAGCTCAAAGAATTTGGAAATCCATGACTAAAATCAAATAGCAAAATATAAATCTTATATTAAAAAGTTATATCTAACAATTTATTTAAATGACTGTCAATCTTTTGTTTCAGATACCGACAAAAGACGGAATAAAAAGTGGTCTAAAAGCTGTTATGTACACTTTCCCTGAACACATGATGGACAACGGCAAGGTGCAAGAAGATAATAAATGCTTCTGTAGGAAAGGTAAGTTCTTTTATCTGCATTTCAGTCATTTGGGAAAACTTTGTCGAGAAGTCGAGTCTCGACAACGTACCATACCTTTCCCGTATGGAAATTGTGTCTCAGGGCGCAGTGCCAGTGGTCCTCAGGTCTTTGTTATTTAAAGCTCGTGAGTGGTGCTACAACCGTTATATGGCTTTTCACTTGGTACCACAAAAAAGGCAGAGTCGAACCTTGCACATAGAATAAACGGCAATTAATCTCCAACTCGGCTATCGATGTCTTACATACGCCTAAATTTGTACGATTTTGGTGACTAGAGGAGGTTACGATATCCCGGTAGGGCCAATTTGGAAAATTTGCTTAATCGATTCTTGACGGGTTTCTGAGTAGTTTCCCAGAATTAATTGCTCTGGTACTCACAGTGCATAATTCCTTCGTTCCAGGCAAATGCCTTCCCGAGGGTCTGATCGATGTGACAGATTGTTACTACGGTTTCCCCATCGCGTTGTCCTATCCACACTTCTGGAAAGGAGACGATGTGCTCTTCAGCAAAGCTGAGGGGATGGCGCCGAACCAGGAGCTGCATGAAACCAGGTAAGATTCATTTTCTTATATTGGTACCCGTGGTATCAAAGGCAGTAAAGATTTTAAATAGAAAACCACCGTGAGACTCAGACATATTAACTAGAAATAACGGATAACTCATGTATTTAAGTCGATATTTGCTCGACATATTTCTAACCAATTCGTGGTCCTTAATGATGAGATTCCGTTAGGTTTAAAAGTATAATGACTGTTGTTATTCATTAAGTAGTATACCAGCTTATATACCAAATTTGCCAAATACGATGTTAAGATTTAAATTAATTGAATATAATGATTTGTATACGTGTAACCTTGTCGAGATTACCTTGAATACGCTTACTTTGTCTCTGGACTCTAAGATCACATCACTGTTTGTTACCTCTTCAGGATCTGGATCCAGCCAGAATCCGGTCTTCCCTTGGACGTGAGCGCGAAGTTCCAGATCAACATGGCTCTTGGGGACATCACCAACATTAAGAACACTGAACGATTCGCTAACATGCATCTGCCTATGCTTTGGTTTGATATTGTAAGTATTTACTGTGTCCCTTTCAGTAACAGCTTTAACGTTTCGAATTCTTAGGGTCGTATTCTAGAACTCTATTCAATGCTCAAGTCAGGATTGCCCTGGCAACACAAGCACTGGAAATACGACCCTAATGGCAGGGACTTGAGTATGATTTCGAGTGCTGTAAACCATTCTCAAATCCTGACTTGAGCATTGAGTAGAGTTCTAGAATACGACCCTTAGACTATCGCGGTTGCTATAATGTGGAAATGAAAATATTTTTTTCCGATCTAAATCGTGCTTATTGGTTTTTTCAAACAAATCTACTTGTTGGTGAAGGTTTGGACTCTTTACAAGTCCCATTCCACTCAGTCAACTATCAAAAGTAGTTTCATTTCCAAAGCTTAAATATCCTTGAAAATTTTGTCAATCAAATGCTATATTAGATTTTCTCGTGAGGTTTTCTTTTGCAAGATTAAACTGGATGGCTGGCAAGTCCCTTACGTCATTTTCAGCCATAAAGAACTGTGTCTCAGCCATTAATATACAGTTTCTATATCAGTAACCGATACGCCAATTTGTATTTAAACAAACATATTTAAGCAAACCATGATGCGCTTTCATCCTTTTCATCTAACTAAGCTATCATTCTAACGAAACTTTTTCTTCTATCACAGAGAATGTTTGCCCTGCCACCGTCGATGGAGCAGCGTTTCGGACTATATTTAAACATACTGCCCACAGTCGAGCAAGGAGCTATGTACCTCCTCTTCGTTGTTGGAGCTATCCTGATCATCATCACCATATACCGTCTTACCTTTAAGATTATGTTCAAATCCTTTGACAGCAAGAACAATAGAAACTTCATAATTGGCAGTGATCTATGGATTGACAGAAACAAAAACAAAAAAGATAAAGATAGCGTTTACGTACCTTGTGAAATACCTCTTAGCGAAACTGATACAGATTACAATACAGACTACAGTCCTCGGAATGATGTTGAAAAACGGCCATCTTTGTATAAAACTCATAGTGAGAGGTTCAAAGAGCTTAGCTATAGGTTGAGTGATAAAGTCTATGATTCAGTAGGTAGTTTAAAGGATAAAGTAAGGGAAATTACTCATGTCAAAAATATATTTAAAGACGAACAAAGAGATTCATTAATAGGGAAGAATGAATCACAAAGCAATGAAGCGTATAAAAGTGATTCTAGTGACAGTGAAAAGGAATGTAAGGGTATTTATCAAGCTGTTGGACAATCTGATTCAGACGATGATTGCAAATATTTAGAAGTAATGGATGATGGCTATGGTTTTAACAATGCAACACAACATTATGAAACTGAAAGAGAAAAAAATTTAAAAAATTTAGACTCAATGAATAAAAATGATCTAATGATTCACATATCTGATTCTGATTGAAATTTAACATAAATGTGATATTGAATCTTGCCATGATGTAGATGTCTACATTTTGACTGTTTAAAGACTTGCCGCTACTCTTGCTATCTTGTAATTTAAGATAAGTGTGAGTAGGATAACTGTATATTGTTAGTGTCCATTTAAATCTGGTGTAGAAGATGTGTCTGGTAGTTAATTAGTTTTGGTAAACTAGCTACGGTAACGTCAGTAATAGTTCTGCCTTCCCTATGAAATTGAGTTATTGACATATCTAGGATTAGGAAACCACATCTATAACCCCCTCTTTAACTTATTTAGTGTCAGTTTTATTGCTAAATAATATCATCGTAATTGGCATTTTTTTTAGGTTTGAATATCTAGAAAGTTACCAAAATACAAATGCGTTGGTTATAACAAAGAGGGCAGAGTTGATAGTCCCATGAAAAAATTCAATTCTAAAATTGCTCAAGTAAATACTATTTGTGCCAAAGTTTTCAAGTTCAGACTACACGTTATTGTAATGTAAGAAAGTTCGGTTGTAAATGCAATGAGTTTGTTATAGCATATAATTTAAAATATTAAGGTGTTAGTATGCTTAACTGTACAGTTAGATTTTAGACTGAATTTACTTTAATTATCCTTACTTATTCTGACATATAAGATCACACAGTGATGAAAAACAGAGGTACTTTTGTCAGTAATGAAAGCATCTAATTTAAAATTTCTCTTGTGCTGTTTACCAGCTGGCCATCTAGCTTGCGTCCAGTGCCAAATAAAAACCTTTTATTTAAAAAAGAAACGTAATAAATATATTTTTTAAGTACTAATGCAATTTTTTTACATAAAAATTTCAAGAGTTTTCCATAATTCTGTGAGAATCTAATCTATTTAACGAAATATTTAGAGTTTCAAATTCTCAAATGTATTGATGAGATTATTTATCATTATTGTGCCAGTGATTTGAAAATTTAGAAATATCTATAAATTTTAAAACAAACTGTATAAATAAATATCTTTACCGTAGTATGTTTTCTTTGTTAAGTATATTTTTAAACTATGATGTATTACTTTCTGGAAAGCAAAATAAAAATCGGTTTTATTTTGAAATATTAAACAATATTAACAGTTTTCAATTTCAATTACATTGCAATTTTTATAATTTCTTTTATTGTAATTTAATGATAATTTTATTGTATAACAATATAATAAAATTATCATTAATTTGAACACATATATAAAAAAGGTAATTTTTCTTGTATTCGCCGATTTTTATTGCGCATTTGGAAAATATTAATGTTCATTTTAAAACCAAATCTACCTGAAATTCTTAAAGTTAGATTTTTTTATACTTTTAAGTTCAATAGCCAAGTTGTATAAATAATTACTTACTTAAATAAAACTAAGTGAGTCATTATTTCTAAATAAATTCCAATTCTTTTTAATCAAATATTTATCACAAATTTCATTTACGAAATTTTACTTTTGTAAACATATATATGTATATTTTAGAATGATTCGATTAGTAAAACATAAATATATTGTTTTTATTTAAACAACCGAACAAACGACTCATGTTGTGATATATTTATTAATTATTATTGTACTATAACAATTTACTATAGGTGTTTATTATAAATTGAATTTATTTTTAATAATATTATAAGTTGATGAGAATTCTCTCATAGGTCGGTAGGTACTTGGTAAACTTATAAGAAATAATTATTAAAAATAAAGAATAATAATTTAACGTGTCTACTTTTTATTTTATCACACGATTGATACCCTTTTAATTAACACGGCGGTGGACGAGGACGTCATGGATTAAGAACTAACCTTTCTAAATTAGTAGTGACTTGAGAACTTTTTATGATATCAAGTAACGTGAAAAATGAGTCGTGCGCCTGGTGCCTGGTGATAAGCGACACGCCGGTCCAGTGTCCATAGCAGTTGCAGTGCAGCTCAGAGCAAATCGTTAAGTTTTGAGTTATAAGTTGATAACTCATCCGTAGAATAAAGATCTGTGTGCAAGACTACGTGTTCTAAGTACAATAATACATTTCGTTCGTTCTTCGCTGTGGATGTCTGATAGATCGTTGTTCGATTTTAGCGCCCAGTTACACGAGAAAGTTTTACCACGCCTTCACGTACATTAATGGCGAATCTGAGTTATATTTACTAGGCAACAGCATTTAAATTCCTCTAAAGTCAAACCAGTGGTAATGCTCACATTACCATGGCAGAAATAGGTAAGGTGACATATGGCAGTACAACCCTGGATAAACTCTTTCACTAAGAACTCTGCTGGTTCTTTGCTATTAGTTTATTTATTATGTTAATCATAATATGATCATTAAGTATACTAATGATTTTATTTAGTACATACTAAAACAACAGTAAATTACACTAGTTAAGGTAAATAAAGTCAAGTAAGTAGCTCTAACAAAGGCCTTAACATAATAAGTGAATAACACTACCGTAAATTACGTAGATTAATATTTTGTTTTAATAAAACAAAAATCTCTAAATAGTCTAAAAAATTCGAAATTTAAACATCAATATCGTCTTTAGTGAACAGCCCGCTGACAGCCTTGTTGCCGTTCCGTCGATGTAAACGTCAATATGAAGGGCGCGGTGGGGTATTTAAAGCTAGGGAGGGGCGGAGAGTGATCTTTCTTGATACTTTTGTATTCTCTGAAGCTTTGAAGCTCGGAACTTATTTAAAGAGTCGGGTCGCCGACTCAGGGTCGTGGTTGGTTCAGCAAGTGTCCATTGCCGTATTGCGAGGTAATACTGCCAGTATAATAGGAAGTTTTGTGCTGGGCAGGATACGGGGAGGGATTTTTGGAAATCTTATAAATCCCAGTATAAAGGGGAAAACCAAGGAAAGAAAAATAAAGAAATACTTAATGGATTCAAATGCTGTATAACAAGTTTGTAAAATTGCCATGGCTGGCACCGACACCAAAAATAAGTAATTAGATATTATAAATATTCAAGTATCAATATTTAATTGTGGTAAAGTAAAACTTCAAACCGATCAGCACCACACCAATTATAATATTTTATTGAAATTACAGATAATAGGTTTGGAGAAGAATTGTTATGCTGTAAGTGTATAAAAAAACTACAAATGTAGATAGATTGATTATTAAGTAATTATAGTATTGTTGTAAAAAAGGAAATATGACAAAAATGAATAAAAAGTGTTCAGTAGCTATTGACGAAGCTTAGTACGGATTTTTAGATAAATTTGACTATTTCGTATGTAATTTTTAACCCATGAAATGAATTTTAGGTAGATTATATAAAAAAACTGAGAGTAGTTAAAAAAAAACTTTATTTTTAAGGAACCCAGGACTATTTATAACAAAATACACTTAACAAACACTTAGGATTCAATCGTATTAAAGTTAAATAAGTTTTGTACAAAATTTGTGTTAAACAGCCACCAGAACATGTAGCCATAGAATAAGCATTTCAGTATATTTTCCAATATCAATAACCTGTAACAAAAAACAACATGTTACTATGGGAACTAAATAGTATATGGCTAGAATTCATTTGATTGATTCAGATTTTTGCCATCACAGGTTCCTTAATGATCGTATGACGAGTCACCTGAGGAGAAGCGGGAAAAAATGTTTTACTAGACCAAATGGTTTAGGTATTTACTATTAAATACCGGTCTTTTATAAAATATACGATACACCTAAAAATATTGTCTAGAGAATGTGCTAATTGGTGCTAAAATAAAAGTGTAAAACGTTTAAAATTATTTAAGAATAAAATAGCTAACTTTGCAAATAACTTTTATATGAAGATATCTCTCTTGACGTATTCGTTTTCAAACGAAACCCTATAGTTATTAAATTCATAGTTATCCCAAAACTTTTAAATTGCCCAGTGGCATATATACGCCGAGCTTGTCAACGTCGGGTCTGTGTCAAATTTTCGGCGCCTGTTCTTATTTTATTCATATTACAACTCATAAACAATTCGAAATCTAAACAAAACGGAATTAATTAACTGCTGGTTATTGATTTTTAGAGTGTTAGGAGGATAGGCGTATCATTCATTTCGTAACAGAATCTACTGTTAAGCTTAACGGATAGTAATAGAACTTCGACAATGATTGGCTTTAAATTTTTGTAGACTTTGCGAAAGCGTTTGACGCAGTTGCTATCAGCCGTCGTAGTTGGTGAATTCACCTTTAAAACAATAAAATTTGTTATTATTGATTTTTATTGAATTTCGCGATGTTTTTATCGCCGTGATATCTTCACATACTTTTAACAGAATTTTTATATAATTATAACAAACCAGTGGAATTATATGTATAACATAGTAAAGCGACATCAACGTCAGGCTGTGGTAGCTGTAAATATAACGGCTGAGTGAGAAGGTTCATAAATCTCTCACAAGGTCTCGCTTACGACGCGAAACCCGAACAAAATAATACAAAGATATGTAATGTAACCTTAGAGGATGGAAAAACATAGTCTTAGAATGTAACAGACACATACAAGAATTTCGTCGACCTGCTATCTTAACCTGTGGCTTAGTTGACAGACCGTCACTGCGGTATAGCGTCGTCGGAGGTCATGTCGGGTCTTTGTATTAATGAATTATACTAAAATCTGTTACTTCAATCTTACCTGTATCTATGCGCTTTGGCTTTCGGCAAATCCTCGTCTGCTTCCTTTAACAAGTACCTCCGCCCTCCAATGCAGCTATTTATAAAATATTGATATTTATCAATATTTTCAATGTCATAATAAAAATCTTTCTTGTCTTCTTCCTTTATTTTAGACCTTAAATGTATGAAGTTCTTGTTTTCAAACGTCCATTGCTTCGTTACATAGTACTGTAGGGCTAAGTTTGCTATGTAGATGCGTCGTTGTATTTTTATCAGCCTGAAAGTTATAAAATATGTGTTACTTAATTGCCTATAGCGTAAACTACAGCTTCCTACTGCCGAATTAAACCAACGCGGGGGTCTGTCTTTAATGCAGCTCAATGAAGGATGGCAACTTCCCGTGTCTTTTATGAAGCAGTGTTTTTGACGACGTGCATTAAAGAGACCTATCAATACTTGTTATTCATTATCAAAGCACCAAAAAAGGCAATTGAGTACAGCCTGTAGAAGCCGGGGTTATAAAGTTGATATAGGTTATGTTTATAACATTGTCCCGTATTTCGCTTCAGATGTTTGTTCGTAGTTGCAAAAAACAACAAATTTTCAGTTTGTACCCAAAAATAATAAAGAACTTCCCGAATATTACCAAATCTGCCAAACTCTGTCACATTTAATATAACTTATCATGTCAAAGAAAATGAATAAAAATTAAATATGCCCAAATGGCAGAAATCTGCCACAAATGGTCATACTGTTCTCAATATCAACATGACATTGACATTGGCAAGATGTCTCTTGTCAAATCGTTCCTTTGCAACTTTCATTATCTCTGATTTAAATGTTGTCTAAATATTTTTGTCACATTGTGCCATTGACTTACAATTGTAAGTCAATGCATTGTGCTTTATTTTTTGCTTTATGTCAATACTGTTTAATTGATTATTTCACAGCTTTAATGTTTTATGTGTGTACTATAAAATAACCAATGCTTCAGGTAGGAAAACATTCAATCATGCTTAAAATGAAATGCACGTACAAGAACGGTACCTAATCTACGGTCGACATGAATCAATTGCGTTGTGTTCTTGCATTTATTCTAAAATACGATGTTTTACAATTTCTTTATTTACAACTTCTAAAAATATACAAAAATATATTGATAACTAGGCATAAACTAAAACGCAAAATTATACTAGCAAAGTCCATGAACAGCTCTTCGTCGTTATTAGGGCAGCTTTCGCCATCCTCATCTTCATTAATCACCATCTTTTAATTAAACGACATTCTATCGTGTCGAACCAAAACACTGCAAGGTTCAATACAGTATTTAGGCTAGGGCCCATTGAAAACCAGCGTCACAACCTAGCCTTGGTTGTGACTTTAGCTGAATGGGATCCTTTTGTACACGCCACAGCCGCACACATGTCAGTATAGTATTATGCAACTTGTTGTTGAAATGTTTTTACGCTGTTCTTTGTGTTATTTCTGTCTTAGTTATAAGTATTAGTCTTTGTTTTTGTGTTTTTTTTATAATGTGGCGTTACAATAAATGGTTTCTATTTCTATTTCTATTTCTATTTAGTAATTTCATGACAAGTTTCGTTTGTTAACGAGGGAAAAGAAATTTATTCGTTTTCAATAGAAATAGCTTACTGTCCAAAGCAAAATTTTAATGACTAGATAGATTTCTTTAATATCTAATGTAAAACGTAAGTTAAATGCAATTTTTTATGTTATAACGGCAAAAATTATAAAAAACTAAAAAATCTTTTACGCAGCTTCTTCTCAAAATGCTGTTTTTGATATTACAGTGTTTTGGTTTGACACGGTAGCATTGTATTATTTGCTGTACTGCAGTTGGGCCGGGATGGCCTTGGAGGAATTACTATTAATATATGTGCATGGGCTTGTATTATTACACAAGCCTGTATACATAACATAAAACGTCTTTTCTTGATATTTCGAAAAATAAACCACAACTACAACCAATACCTGTAATCATTTGTTTTAAGAATGTTGTACTTACATCGGTTTTCTTCCAAGCAACCACAGAATTGTGTCGACAAATATGGCAGGCAGTAAATGAAAAAGCAAAACCTGAAACGTAAACTTACATTAAATACATGAATATGGGATCTTTGTATTAATAATTATATCAAACTAGTAGTGGAGTGATTTCATTAAATTTCATTACGTTAATAGCCACATCTCTGGCCAGGGCTGGAAGCTGTAAAGTTACCTAACTGGGTGACGAAATACTTTCATAGATTTCTCATAGAAAGCGCTACGGCTAAAGAGTCGTTGAAAACCAAATACAAAGATCTGATAGTAAGCACACAAAAATTCGTGAGATCCGCTGGTTCGTTTCGTGGCTTAGTTGGCACAGCGTCTGACAGGGTTTGCTATAAGGTATCGATTAAAATCCGGCCGTATCGAAGGAATTTTTTCTGAGTGTTTGTGAACTTTGTATTAATAATTATTATAAACTAGTGGAGTAATTTTTAATTTAACATTTAATTTAATTTTAGTGCTAATTCGTTACACGATCATATAATATCCGGAAATTAAAATAAAAGTCCAAAACGAAATATTTAAGAATAAGTACTATTGGAGTAAACAAAAAAAAATTGAATATCAATTCACTACAAATTTAATTACATGAATATGGTTTTCTTCAATTCGTACTATTGGTATACTAAACATGTAATCACTATGTCAGAAATACTTATTATCACATGAAACTTATAAAAATAATACGAACTATATTATGAAACAATGTGTATGTGAACCGATGCAACCTCAAATGGTAGCTTTGGTTGATTTCGCGTAACAGTGAAAGTGTTGAATCGATCACTTTGGCAAAGACATATAGTAAAGTAGTCAATCAAAAATAATTATGCCTACCTTAGCATAATGATAAGTCTTGGAGCTAGTGATTGATCCACCTACACTCCACAACATATCGTTCAAGGGATAGGACTCCGAGATTTGTCTCCCGACTTCAACAAGTTCGCCCATCGTTATGTTGTTCAGATTGCTCGCACAGCAGTTGTAGATTGGTACGTCGTCGGTTGGTTCTAACCTGAAATTGGGAATAGGTCATTTGTTATATGTAGGTCATCAATATTTGATCATTAGAAAATAGAAGAATAATGTTACGGAACTTGACCGTGGACCACATGCAAGAAAATTACTCCATGACAAATATTATGAGAATTATAAATTTCTTGCGACAGATATTATTGGTTACGAGATATTATTTGGAAGGACATAAGGGGAGAGGAAGGCCAAAGAAAAGATGGATGGATGGATGGATTGTGTGAAAGATGACATGGGTAAGAAATGTGTGAGTATGGAATACAGGTTGTGCCAACCCCGCCTAGCTTGAGCAGCCTAATGGTTTGAATTATTGCCTCTCTAGCAGAGGCCGTGGGTGCGAATTCGAACTGGTACCTCTGAGTTGCGAAATAGAATTAAAATTTTACCATCAGCTTTTAGGTGAAGCAAAACGTCGTGGTGACACCTGCACATCAAAGAAGGTTTACAACCCTCGGAAAACGTGTGAAGTCCCAAACCCACATTGATCGCCTAAGAGGAGACCCGTATCCGGCAGTGGAACTTATAAATGGGTTGATGATGATGACAGATATCATGAAATTATCAATATTTGTTGCTTAATTTAGTAATTCAACCCGAACCATTACAATGGGCGTCTTTTCGTAGCTGATATGCTGAGGACGTTGACTATCAAAGGTTTTAAGGCTAAAGGCGATTGGTAGTAAAGTAACCCTTTATGATATACTTACTTCTTCGTTCCTCTGATCCAAGCGGTAGCAATGATGCTTTTGATAGAAATATCAACTGGCATATAGTCCGCTATGAGTTCTGAGTCCGAATAAATACTACGCATTATGCCTGAAATAATCAAACATAATCTGAAGGCAATCATTGTCATACTCCATCTTCCGCCATGCCAGTTGATTGATTGAAACTAGCGTCCGGTTGACCAGCATGACGTCTCACGAAGTGTATTCAATAATAACTCTAAAATTAACTAAACAACCTAGTGTTACCCTTCACTAGCTCAGTGGCCTACAGGAGGAGACGAATATTTCTAAATTTGGTTCTGTTTTGGGGATTTCTCAAGGGATTTGAATTGATTCATTAGCAAGGTTTCCAAGTTTAATAACAAGCATCCGCCTGCGTTACGGAGTGTTTATTAATAAGCAGGGTAGGTCACTTTAGATCCCCAACTTGAAGAGTAAACAAGTATCTCCAGAAAACCTGCATATTGGACAGTGTTACGATTGCAACAAACCCTTTATGAACACAAATAAACAAACCCGCAAGAATAGAGAAACATGTCCCCTTTCTACCGACCTTCACGTCTGTAAAGATTACTTACGTGACGTCAAACTGACAGATTTCGTACTCGTGCTAAGCATTCTGTTAGTTTTGGAAGTGATTATTTGGCAACATTTACCTTTCCCGCAAGCAACAAGTATGCCTACAGGCCCGTTGAAGTTTTCAATCCAACCTGGCATGGGCTCGCTCGCGCTGGCAATAACAATTGACGGCCTGATGATGCAAGCGGGCAGCTTTCCTGCTTGTTCATATACGACGTGTTCGGCAAGTTGCTTTGTGAATGTATACGTGTTTGGAAGCTCGCCTAGATATCTGAAAAACAGAGGTTTCTTTTTAACAATTCCTGTATCGCCGTGAGTGGTTGTCCTAGAACGAAAAATTGTAGTTTGCAAAGATTTGTTAAACTATGTAATCTGTTTTTTGCAATCATTCTTTAATCTGATTATTTTTAGTAACAAGTACCTATGGAGGTAGCTAAAGCACAAGTAACTTTTATACTTGTAAAAAAACATTAAAAATGAAGACAAGGCTAATTTATGCGATGTTTATTTTGTTATCTACTTGCTAAGTGATGGAACGAAAAGTCGTGCGCCTGATGGTAAACGACACGCCTGTCCATAACAGCAGTGCCACTCAGAGCTTCAAATCGCAAAGAGGTGCACTGGCTCTGCGTCCATCACCCTGAGATATAAGTTGAAATGTCCCATATGCCAGAAATTTCACCAGCACCTTTACACTTCAAAACCGGAACGCACTAATGCTTACATTAGTGCTTGGCGGCGGAAATAGGTAAGGTGGCAGTACTTCGCTGCTAGAACTCTTCACAAAGCGCTCAACTGCTACTATCTCAGACTCGAACCGTCTGATGCCACACTACCGAGAATACTCCGACCACCGATCCGATTTAGAAATGTGCATTTTATTAAATTGTTTACGGGCATTTCGATTCCAATCTATTTCTTTCTCGAGACTAGTGGCGTCACTTAGCCACCGAGATCCACTTACTTGGGAGTAAGTACTTTTAGGTCATGATCGTCTATCTTGTCACATATCTCGAGCGTGTCACGCCAGTCCGCATGTGGGGGGTACATAATTTCCTCTATAGTCTCGCGGTTCGTATTTGAGTATGACGTTGAGATGTGGACTAGAACCTGAAACAGACAAATATTTATAATTGAAAGAAATATCACGCCTTTTGAGCTACCGGATAACTAGATAACAGTATCGGCGTTTACACAACGGGTTTTACCAATTGTCAGTCCAAATATTGATTTACTAATTAATTAAAAATTTTAGATAGATAGATATACACTTTATTGCTCACACACAAAAACAAGAACAGATAACTTCTAGTCTAGTCTAGATAGTCTTATCGCTAAAAGCGATTTCTTCCAGACAGCCTTTCAAAGCTAATCGAAACAGGAGACGTAGTGAGCCAATTTACAAAGACAAATGAATTGTGTAAAAAAAAATCGAAAAATATGTAAAAAACTTACATTAGAATTTATCAAATACTTAATAAATATTGATAATATATGTATATATAAATATACCTAAATAAACTTATACTTAATAATAAATATAAACATGTTGCAGACTAGGACCGTATTAGAAGATATTTGCGCAATCCGATGTTAAGTAAAATTGTAAAAGAACCCTGGTACATCTGTCATCCAATTACTCGTTGAGACTTTGGGAACAATTTAATGAGCCCATTCAGAGTTGAAAAGTCTGTGGACTGTCCTAGTCGAAGCATAAGATCAAGGTTACATTATTATTCTAATGTCTTAGGATTTCCCTAGTAGAATATAATAAAATTTCATGAAACCAAACTTACAGACAAATCTCTAATATCTTTGGAGAGTTCGATGACTTCTCTTGTGCCTCTGAGGTTCAGCTTCGCAGCGAACGGTAGAGGGTCATCGAATCTAGAAGAAGAAATAGAACAA